TTCAACTTTAAAAGCTCTCCGCGCCGTAATTCACGCTTTTGATGCTGGGAATTGAATTTTCGAGTTTTAATTCTTTACTGTCCATTAAAAACGTTAAATCGAATTTAACAGTTTCTGTCGGATAATTTTAGCGTCAGAGCGAGAGGATATCGACGCGGGGTTCAGGTAGATTTCAGTTTTTTGAGACCGGAAATATCATACCGCCAACTTATTAATCGCTAATCTAATCAGAATATTGACATTAATGCGTGACGTTTTAAAGTAACGAGTTTGTCATTTTTCTTTAATTTATTCCCTCGATTCTTTTCGACATACCGGAGATTAAATGCTCTTTCAAACTCTTACGAATTTATTGTAAGACTGAAATAGATATAAAATCGTCACACTTAAATAAATTCGTTTTTTTAATTCGTCGTGTAAATTTTGCCTCATTTCAATATTATTATAGTCTATACCTTCAGAAATGTCAAGTTTTCGATTAAATTGAAAGCTTCTTAAAACTTTACAACGCCTTAATAAAAGCAGAGAGAAAAATGCGTCTTTCTTATACTTGATTGGCACGAAATTTGAGCAGTTACTGAAGGTTTGACAAAATTTCACGTGCCACTCGAAAGCCTTTCAATCTTCCCCTTTGCTTCGTTAAAAAGCTGAAGTGAAAATTTCATTCCAGGGACCACGAACAAAGACAAAGGAAGAAAAGCGTCACGGTATATGCTCATAAACGACGATGGACCGCGGACAAAGGCGAGTTAGCAACTGCGAATCGACGATAGGCACGATGCGCAGAAGTTCCGGTTTGTAATCGGCTCAACCGATTATTTAACTTTATTGCGCAGCGGCGAACGCAAATCCTGCATAGGTAGGTATGCATTGCGTAACTGTTACTCGCAGAAACGATCAGAATTCCATAAACCAAAACTATCGCGCGTCGATGCCCGATTTCTCTTCGTAACGTACCCTCGACGAATAATGGATTTATGACGCGCTCGTGTTAGGCTTCAAATACGTGCATTACGGATTAAGGTCGTTGCCATGAAACTACGCGTCTAATGCACTCGGGCTCTTTATAATCTGTCGATTCATTGATATATGTAATGGATTGTCATAAATCTATTGAGATTTTAATCGGATTTATAGCTTCAAACATGTCCCATTTCGATTATATGTAAAATAATTAGAATTGCAATGTAGGAAGATGGAAAATAAAAATCCGTTAAATAAACTTATCGATATAAAGGATTATATAACAGATGAGACTCGAAGTAAATGACCTAACTACTGTGATATAATTCGGCGTAATATTTTTTTTTGCGCATCGATAACGTCAACGCCAGATCAATACTTCCAGTAATTAACGTTTAACGGAGAAAGATAATTATTTGTTATTTCTCCCTTTACTAAGAACTCATTTTGATTTCTTATCATTGAGTAGATTATGCTTTTGGAAAAAAGATTTCGTACCTCTTTATCTAAACTGATCTGAAGTACTTTGTTATCGAGTGCTTAGAGATACATATTGACCCGATGGCGTATACAATCGATGATAACGGCTTTTATCGTCACGGATTTTTTAGCAGACAAATATAAAATTCAGTCTCCGAGCGAGATACATGCAAATTTGCGGGAATTAGCGAACGGCATTGAGTAATGGAGAAAACTAGTAACTGTCACTCCGTCTCGTGTAACAATGGTCAATAAGGTACACGGCAGCAATGGAACTTTTCTGTTCATCTAATTGTCCTAACGACTGACCTTCGTTCGCACTCCCTTATCTCCCTTTCGCATGGTTCTATCTGTATCTATCGGAGGTTTGCCCTTTGCTTTTAGGTAACATTTAATATTAATACAGCTCTTTCTATATTAAATAAACACATATATACTTTAACATATACCTAAGTTATAAATATAATATTTACGGGTATCGTGTTTGGGATCGAAAATATTCATCGGATCAGATTTTCGTTAAACATTAAATAAAACTAATTCCTTTTTTATTTATAATTTTCAACCTCTATATTTATGACATCAAATTGCGTATCTCTGAATATTTTAAGTATATCTAACATTTCGAAAATGTATTTTTAAGAATATTCTTCAAGAGTAAATTCAGCAAGAATTAAAATTTATTTCATTTTAAGTAAGTTTAACATATAAGAGAATCATGTATAATTGAACATGTTTTATAATAAAATTTCTTTTAAGAGTTTTCTTAAATTAATTGTTCGAAGGATACGAAATCTGTCCCAATCCGTACCTTTAATGCTAGCTGGAGAGTTCAATACTGCACCGTTAGCATCGATTCCCGATCAGCGGAGCGTTCTGTGGCTCGTTAAGACGGTCGAAGTCGGCTTTTACCTCGGATCTCCGAAGCATATACCCAGATAATTAATGGCAAGTGGCATCGTGCAGCGGTGATAGGCGGACCGCGCGAACGGACTATGTCTCGCGCCTGCCACGGTCAAGACAGGTGCCATGGGGATCGGGGCCGGTCCCGCGATCGCGGGGTTCGTACATCGAATGAATAACGCGAGTGCACTTGCATCTCGGTGTCCGATCCCGTACCTACGTAGAAAGGAAGGTGAAGTCGCCAGGGCGCACCGCCTCGGTATTATCCGCTTATATCGTTCACCTGTGCTAGTGCACAAGTATGCATGACGTGACAGGTACGCACATGCACACGCGCTCGCATGTCGGAGATTAAGGAAGAATGAGAGCTGCGTGCAGAGACAAAAGAAAAAAGAAAAAGAAGAGAAGAGAGAGAGAGAGAGAGAGAGAGAGAGAGAGAGAGAGAGAGAGAGCGCCTCTCGTGGGCATAAACTTCCATATGTCGAAACGCAGAGAGCGAGGCAAAGCTCGCATTCATTGCCCATTGGACTGTTTCCTAGCATCCCTGGTCCCATTCAAGGGCAGCAGGACGTGGTTTGCAGTAAATTAACGTTAGGCGGAGACGAGAGGTACCAATATACGTTCGTGGGACGAATGGGAAACATATAATTTGCGGGCAAACGTTCATTCGAAAGTTGGTTAGCGAGTGAAATCTGTGGATAAGAAACAAGTTATTTTCGAACTAATCTAGTTATTGATAATCATAGAAATGTCTGCAGTCGTTAATCAAAGTGTCTTTTTGAGCCAGCTAATTCAGGATGCCGCCTGTAAACCATACAAGTTTGAAAAGTTTATTAAAGGTATCGCGGATTTCTTTTGGCTATTTACTCCGAATAAGCTGCTGTCCCGAATTATTCGTAAAGAGTTTGATATCAATGTACCATGTAATTACTGGTATTATCTCGATCTCGTCTTTTTAGTAAACAAGAGCACAAAATGGCAAAGTGCAAGTATTTTTATACACAAATATTCAATATTCATTTGCACTCTAATTGACTGCTCTCTGTTAATTTATTTTTATCAAGGCAATAAGTTTCTTGATCGATAATAGCGATTAAAAACATAACAAGCAACAGTATCCTTTTCACGATAGATGGATGACTTTATGCGCGTTATTTGCATATACGTATACATATTTTTACTTAATGTCAGGTAACAGCGAAATTCAAAACGCATTGCATCTGTTATGGCCGATATTCTGTCACAGTGTATCCACCAATTGACTTAATGATCCGAGTGAATCTATTCTCGATGCAGGACCTAAGTGCACACACGAGGTAGCATATTGGATGTTCACACGGTTAACAAGCATCTGAGCAAACAGTCTCCAACAGCCTTGACAAAGCAGCTGTGACCCTTGCAATTGGTCAGCTCTTCACTATTTGCGAAATTTATTGAGAAAGATCAAAATAATTAACATCTCCGTATCTTTTTCGCGCGTGAAATAATAACATATAAAATGTAAATTCGTTAAAAAGAGATTAACATTAACGCAAAGTATCACATTTTATAATGCATATATTATAGATTGTATATTTATTTGCTCTATTAACTGTTGTACGCATAAACGCATCGAATATTGTTATTCGATTGTTGCGACCTTTATGTAGAAATCTATTTTTATTTAGCAATTTTATTTAGCATTTCTAAAATATATGATAAATATATTTCATATGAATCAAACATATTTATCAAATATATTTTATATTAATTAAATATATCTTTAAGTTAAGTATTATATATAAAACATATTTTATAACAACGATGTATGCGTATACATGTACAGAAATACTTAATAATAGCTATTAGATAAATATTACTAATGTTGACTATCGAGAATACATTAAACCTCAAATGTATGTATACTTGCGATATTTATACAGTTTACTCAATAGATTATTAGAATACAAATGTACTTCATTACTCTCATTCGTATTATGAAATCTATATTAAGTATCTTGTAAGACGATTTATTTCTATTCATAACAATTATTGACAACATTCAGTATCAATCTTTTCTATAAAGAAGTCTTATTCACTGAATTACATAGGTACATCAATTCCACACACAGAGTGCAGTGAACCTCACATGATTCTCATTGTCGCTAGAAAATTTGACAAATAAATCATTTTGCATGTCTGCCAAGTTTTGCATCGGATTTACTGCGTCTCATGCGCTCATTCACTCAGACATTTTTGTTAATTGCACACTATATTGCGCATTTTACATGACTTTTCTTCTCAGTTTGATCCAATCTGTTAACACTTTTTGATTGGTCATTAACGAATTAGCCGCTCTGTCTAATATTTTCTCCATCAGTACAATGATATAATTAAATTACTAAATAATGAGATTAAAATTATATAATAATTAAGAATATTTATTAAACAATTAAGAAAAAATATGAGCAAAAACTTGATCAGTGTGCTGTATACGAAATTAATTACAAATCGCTTTTCATTAATAAAAATGACAAGGAAGATTCGTCTGAACATATTATGACGAGGTCGTATTGACTGAACGGTTCTTTCGTGAAACGTATCTTTTCGAGGCAAAATGATACATCAGCGATATAATCATGATAAGCCGAGCAAGAAGCGATTATTGCGAGTATTTAAGCGCGGATCGTTCGTTATACCGACAGACCTCGAGCAGACATCCTACAGCAATACGGCGCGGTTCTGAGTGAAAAATAAGCCAAAATGTCGGCATACAAGTATACAACCGGCCTAGTTGTTCTGGTGATCGCTCTGTTGACCATCAACACTGTATCTGCTGGTGAAGATGTTGCTTCCTACGCTGACGATTCACACCATCTGAGAGTCGGCTCCAGGATGCCCGGCGACAGACTCGTCCTCAAAGAGAACGTCAGCAAGAGCTCTGGCTGGTTGAGGGTGCAGGTTATTGAGAAGACCTTCTATGTCCCGGGGTTGGAACGTATCACTATGGTTGAAGCATTGGACCAGAAAACGAATGGAAAAGGCGCGTACGCCAGTATTCTGAACGGTGGACCTGGACACAACAACGTCACCATGAAGTTCAAGAGTCAGAGAGGTCACAGTATTAACTTCGTCCTTCAGCTTTATTCACGTTAATTGTCCAGTGGAAGCAGCTACTCTTACAACTGGTACGACGATTCCTGGATGCAACTCAGATGGAGAAGTGACATAATCAACCTTCAAAGTTACATCAACCTAGTGTGAACTGTTTACTATTCAAGAAGAATTACCATTGCTACCAAAAGAAGTCACCGAATCTTCTTGTTACTTTGAAGTTTTGTATATCATCAATAAATCAATTGATGTAATTGTACATATGTTTCTTAAAAATTCTCAAATGCATGTAAACTCGCAATCGTAGAACATAAGTATAAGCTATTAATAACGTGTGCAATGTACAGAAAACTGATAACACTTTACAAAATGCAGTGCTTGTTCATGATTTTTTACGTACGAATGAAATAAATTCGCCTTTATCACTTATTTAATTATGTCTTATTCTAATTGTATTCTCTAATTTCCAACTATTATTAGAACGGCTTTCTAATTACTAATTAAATAATAATTTGCTAATTATATTCTCGTTATCTTCAACGGGACTTGAATATTGCGATATGAGATAAGAATAAGCGTGAGCGCTGAGGAAGGAAAAAGTATCGATGCAGTAATGCAATTAGCGTCGAAGCGAAACGCGACGACGATTCGGAGTTTATGAAGGGCATGGTCATTTCGCCCACTCCAAAGACAACCTGTCGTTCAGATAGGGTAATTTGTTTATTTGCTTCCTTTTAGAGTGATCTTCGGCGGTGTGGCCACTTTGCGTCCATATGATGGGTTCACCAAATCATCCAGTGAGATACCAAGCATCTCTGGAGTCGTGCCATTAACATTATTCCTACTTTATTCAATAAAATAAAGTAAGCCAGCGAGAAGAGTCTCGAATATGAGTCTGGATAACTCAGTATGAGGAGTCGCCCGCCAAGTGACAGGTTTCTATTCAAATCCTGGTCTGGAGTTTGAACCTAGCTCGTTTTTTTCTCGCCAAAAGTTATTAAGCGACGCGTCTAGTGCCTACCTCCTTGAAGATATATTCCTACTTTACCTCACACAGCAAAATATATCTGAGACTTGAATCAGATATCATTTCACCAGTCATATTTGAGATATCTCGTAGATGATATATCCTGAATATTTTAAGGACATCACATTTCTAATATCTCTCTTAAGGATATCACATTTTTAATATCTTTTTTAAAAAGTATTTCTGTATAATATTTGCGTCATAAAATAACGAGTTCGGTCTTTTTAGTAATAATTTGGAGCTTACTTGCTCAAAAACTTATACCAAAGCTAACTCTGCTATAATTTTATATTGTACAATGCTGCGTACAATGCTGTGATGATTAATTTTGTTTACATTATTATTTGTACAATGCTGTAATGATTAAGTTTATTTACATAATAATTTGTTATAATGTAAATAAACTTAATCATTACAGCATTGTACAAATATATAATTAATATAAAATGTTATATTAATATTTTTTATCAGCGTTCTGTATAAAAATGAAAGA